CACGGCTTCATCTTCTTCCTCCAAGAAACGGTTCGAGTTTCAATTGAATTCGAAGCAGCGAGAATCGTGAAATTCTTCTCAGGGAGATCTTTCGTATTCGTCGTCGATTGGACTTGTGTTGTGTCTTTATTTTTCAGTTTTTTGGTTATATTAAGAGTTAAGACGAATGAAAATTAATTAGCAAAAACGATTAGTACCGTGTCGATATTTATTTTATATCTCTCTCTACAACAGAAATAAAAAAAGGAAAGCAGAAAAAAGGAAACTTCAAACTTTTATTTTTGTGACGTTAAAAGGAAATTTATAATTTTTTTTTTTGTAGGGAAAAGAAAATTTATATTAAAATCCTTTTATATATATGTTGGACTAAAATATGTGTAGTTTAGTGGTTAGTTTTGTTATTGTAAACACTTCTCACTTGAATTTGTTTGAGAAATAGAATAGCCCTTCTGATGCCAAAAAATTTCACTTGAATTCAAACTCATAATATATTTTAGTGGAAGAAAAAAATATAAATAGAACATTTTCAAATCTAAAACCTAATCTAATTCAGTTTAGGTTGCAAATAAATTTTACTTGGTCACCAATAGATTATTGACTTAATCGGAACTCGCCTATAAATACTCTCTAGCTTTACCTCTCATCACATTATCAAACACACAAAGCTCATCATATCTCTTTGGATTCAGAGACAGGAAAAGAAAGAGATGATTCCGGTTGAGAGGGTTACATGAAGTCCTCAGAACAGCAGAGGAGACGAAGTGGTTTGTCAGATAAGCTTGAAATGGCTTCAAAAACTGAACTTTAAGTTTCAAAATTTCTGGAAATTCAAAAAATCCTAATCTCTAATTGTCATAATGAGGAGACAATAGAGAGAGAGAGGGATTAGATGTACCTAAGATCACAGAAGATTGGCGACAGAGGAATCGCTGAGGGGTTGAGTAGTTTAATCGGAAATCGTAGCCGACACTATCAAGAGAGAAAAGTGAAAGTAGGAAACAGCGGTTTATATGGTGAGCCTTGAGAGCATCGTCGACCAATAAAGATGGACGACGTCATGGGAATCGCCGGAAAAAAAGAAAGAGATTAGCTTCGAGGACGAAGCAATGGCGATTTTGGTTTCGACGGAGAAAGAGAAAGCCACAGAGGATTCGTAGGCATCGGGTTCAGAAGCTTAGCCTGCCCGAGAATTCGCTGACGAACGTGGTGTTGGCCGGAGTTACCGTTGTCAGAATCATGGTCAGTTTTGCATTGAAGAAATCGAAGAAGATGCTTCGTTATCATCGTTGGGGAAGAAGCAAAGTAAAAGAGGAAAAAAAGTTTTGTTGGGTTGGGCCTGTTAAAGAGAATAAACAAGTAGACTGAGCCCAAGGTAGAGTTTATGAGATAATGGGCCCAGTCTTCTTTTTCTGGCCCAAATACAATAGTCTTCTTCTGATGGTGAAGTTGAGCCAAGTAATGTTTTGGGCCAAGTAATATCACAAGCGATGCCAGCACAAGAAAGACGTGAGAGATACAGAGAGAAGTTGAAACATGTTGTGATCATACTATGGGCTCATTATAAAAGAAAATAAATTAAAGATAAAAAGTATGAGTTTGTTAAGGCAAATCATCATTTCTATATTTGACATTACTTAGGGTAAAAAAAAAATTACTTCCACAATTATATATATTGTAACCAAAGTTTTCAGATTTTATATTTAAAAATCAGAAGAACATAACAGTGGATATTTTAATTACGCCACAAGATTAAGCTATGCAATTTTCTCACAAAAATATTCCAGATATAATAAACGGTGACAACTTTAATATATATGATATAAACTCAATTTATATTTTATAATAGAAAACCATAAATATATTTATTTATTTTTTGACGGCAAAAACCATAAATATTAAAATAACATAATTTTAGAAAAAAAATTTGCCCCGCGGTGTACCGCGGGTTAAATCCTAGTTTGATTAGTATTATACATGCCTAAAATCAACTTAATGAACTAATTAATTTTTGTAGAGTTAAAAAAAACTACTGAATTTTGCCAATTTAAAACCAAGATTTCACTAAATCATACGCCCAGTTATTAGTGACTAACTTTTTGATTAAGCTGACCAATTGTGGAGCACTTTGCCAACTCCGACCATAACAAGTCATTCGGCTTCTGTAGCTTCATCTCCAACTCCGACCATAACTGTGGTCACACTGGTCACGTTTCAACATTTTTGACAAACAATTTGGGCCAATTAACCCAACAGAAGGAGCCCATTTATAACAAAATAATTTGAGAAATTGTTGTGGAAAACTTGTTGAATTTTTTTTGGTCACATCATTTACACAAATAAAAACTTTAGGAAAACTCGCAACCGCTCTTCACGTTTTAGGATAGAGTCATGGAGCGAGGGTTCGACGCTAGTACTTGGGATATTAAAAGAGAGATTTATAATGTAACATCCAGATAGATAGATAGATAGATACTTACATAATGGCGTTTTCTTCCTTCAATTGTAAGTCTCTCTGTCATCTCATGGATTCTTAAGATCCTAAGTTCACAACATGTCGTAGCCACCACTACTGATCACTGTTTCTGTTATTCTATACTTTTGGAGGATTTCAAGCATTTCCATAATATATAATACGACTTTAAAAACCGCATCATTTCTTTGCATATCTATGGAAAAAGGTAATCACATGACGGTGAAGTCAGAGAAAAACACGCAACAAAGTAAGAGGCATCCACACAAAACAGTCAGAGAAGCGTTTAAGATCAGACCAACCAAAACAAACAAAAACAAAATCGAGGTCTTCTTACAGAAAATGTGATGGGAGGAGCATCAGGTGTCAGGTAACCTCATTTGTACAATCTCAGCTGGTGGACGCAATGTGCAAACCATTTCTCTCGTCTTCCCAAAGTAAACCTGCGATTTTCGCCAAACAATTCTCAAACTTTGAAGCTACACGTTATGCTATTCTTTTTTCTTGGTGTTCTCTGGATTAGTTCATGAGATGATAGAAAGTGATCTGATCTAAAACTTATCCTAGAATTCCCGTATACGGTTTATATGATGATTACTTCAGTAGATTTTGTGGATTTTCCAAATATTCACAGAACTGTAGCATGAGCTTAAGTGCTTAACTAACAAAGCAATCCGAATGCAGGTGATTAAGACACCATTTTCAGCATTATAAGGAGGTTACACAAGCAGAAGGAGTTTGGTGGAATTGTTGCAAGGGATTGGAGGTAGAACCTGATCAAGCGAGTTCCTCAGTTTGCCTTCCAATTCTTCAATCATTCTCCCCATATTGCACAGGTGTCCGTCAGCTACTGCTAACTCCATTTTCATCTAATTTCAACAGTAGAAGGATAATGTTATTATTTTAGAGATATTTGGTATTCCTCTATAAATCACTATTCCTACCTGGAACTATTTATCTATGAAGGCATGGGCTAAATAGAAGCTAATACTTACTTGTCTTCTAATTGATCCAGATAAGCCGAATTTGCCTGAAGACTCATCATCAGTGGTCAGAGAGAGCATGATGGTACTTGTTAAGCAATACTGTGCCATTTCCTCCTCCTCTGGACCAACCTATGTTGAGAACCTCAGGCATTAGAAGCAAAATATGAAGTCTCATTAAAGAGCATCTTAGGAAACTATGATAAAGTTGCGACTGAGGGTAGTGTGTTAGAAAATGGGCAACATTATATAACACATAGGCAAGCTTGGTATGGTATGTAACAATGTTAAGAGAGTCACCTGTATAACATGTATGGCATCCCAGGCTCCTTCCTCCAGGCATCCCCTCCGACCATGACCTGACTTTGATCCATCTTCAAGAAACAAAAACCATAACAGCTCAGGTAAAGAGTTTTTATTGACTAACCTTCGGTGTTATTGAACTTTACAGAAAGAAAATACCCTTTTTAATAAGGAAACATGCCACAAAGCCTTCATTATCATCCTCCCACATGTAGACTGAAGATATACCACCTTCATAATACCTGGAAAAGAAAACTGATCAAAACAGGTGTTCTTTTGGTAACTTAGCAAGTTTTTCTAGTCGCCGATCTTATGGATACTTTCTCTAAGCTGATGAACTAAGCAAACCTCAGGAGCCGTATAGACATTAGAAGCATGAAACACATATCATATATGTTTAAACCATGAGATAAATCTCATGAATAGGCAAACCCTTTTTCAGATCAGATGCTAATTATGTCTCCGTTTTAGGCTATCAAATTAGTTTCACTACATGGCTTTCAAGTGCAAACGAGGTAGGTAAAGAACCTCACTGGTCACGATAGATCGCAAAGATATCATTGGCTTCAACTTCAAGGTTTCTTAATTCAGACGATGGGTAAAGAGCATCCTCTAGCGGAGGAAGGTATTTATTTGACCAAGGTGACCTGTAAAAAGCAAAGAACACGAAGTACTGTATCATCCCAAACCTAAAGCCATCCAACATTATCATTTTCTCTCTACACAATGAAAATAGAGCAAAAAAGTACCTGTAGGAATCTGCATCTCTATTGTACTCACACAAGATGAAATCTTTACCACTTTCAATATCACGTAACACCTGTGATTACATAACCAGGACCTTGTGATTCTCCAAACCAAAAGTTGGGAGAAAAACACGAACTCAAGAAAAAGAAAAAAATCACATTACAAATCTCGATAAAGATAGAGAAAAAATACCTGAAGAGGGAGATCGACTTGAGAGAGAAGATCGGAAGAATGTTGAGGAATGAGACTTAGAAGTGCAGATAGAGCCGTCTCCGACTGCTTCGGCGGCATTCTTCTCAGAAGTCCCAACGCTGCCTCCATTTTTCTCAACCTCGCCGGAGAAAAAAAAAACACTTCTCCTCTGAGAAGACAACCACCGTATAACAAATCTCTAAATTGTCTATTATACCCTTTAGGCCCATTTAAAGGCCCAATGTGAACATGCCTAATTCAAAACGGTATCGTTTTTATACGGAATATTAATTTTTTGCTTTCTTTGGGATAATAAATAAAAAATTTGATCGGACCGGTGAATGGTTTTAGTCATGTCATCGATGACGGAGAAGCAGAGAGATCCACCACAGCAAGAGATTGAAGAGACGACTCCGTTACTCGACGATTCTCAACCGGAAGGTGAATTGAGATCGACGACCGCGGCGGCGAAGGTACCGGAGGTGGAGATCCATCTGTATAAGTGTGGAAAAGGTCCGATCGATGTGTTCAAGTCAAATCTCGGTGGTTATGAGCAGGATCAACTCGAGGTTCGATCTATTCTTGATAAATATGGATTGAAATCAATCTTCGCTTTCAACGTTGAGAAAGGTCGTGCTTTTCCGATCCGATTTCACCCTAGGAATGGTCGGTCTGTGTTGCCTTATAGGGATGGTGCCGTCATTTACATCGACGGTGAACCTCAGGTAATCGTTGTTCCTTCTCTTGAATCTGGTGATTGTTTTGATTTTGAGTTTTGACTTCCGCAAAAGGAAAAGGATAGAGAACGATCTTCTTAGTCCTTAGCTAAGTTATAGTTCCCAACTGATTCCTGAATGAAGTATTTTGAAATCCTGGTGAATTTGGTTATATGTATAACATCTGTTGAATAAAACGTAGGAAGTCATAAAAAAGAGTGTTGGTGTTGCAAGTGCAATGCTTCACAGTGTTGAGTGTTGCATCTGCTTGATAATTCCTCAGGACCTTTTTTTTATGCTGGTCTCCTTTACGTGTTCTTCATGCTCATAGTACAATTTTTCAACATTATCTTTCTGCACCCATGAAACCACATACATGTCATCAATATACTCTTCACATTGCTGTAGAATTTCTATTCATATGGACTGGTGTCTTGTATAACTTTAACTTTAGGTCAAAGATTCTATTCTTGTCGAAAGTTAGAATTTTCTTGGAATCATACCTCTCAGATATTTACTGGACTTATGTAGAAACTAGATAGGATGACACAGTACTCTGAATTTGTTGGAGTCAAAAAAAATATTTGGATAATATGGCTATAAGAAGAAAAAACGTTAAAACAACCACTCCAAAGGTTCCAATAAGTTGCAATTAACTGGATGATTAATCTGATGACACTATTTATTTGAACACTTTTTTGTTTTCAGGATTCCCTGCTCAAACCCATCACAAGAATCATTCTCGGGGTCGTGATTGTTACGCTCTTAATAACATTTTTATTGAAAGACCCTCCAGCGTGGATCAAGAACAACGTCTCCATTGGTACTTTTCCTCCGTGGGTGCTCGCTTGCATAGTAATAGTATTCACTCGAGCTAGGAAGAGAACCAGAGACTTCTTCAAGAAGTATGGCTGGTAGTTTCGCAGACCCTAACACTCGTCTTGCTTGAAATGTGGTCGAAATTTGTAGTCCTTCATCGACCATATATATAGAGGTTTTCTTGTCTTAACCCAACAAATTCCTTTCCTTGGCAACACTCTTTGTCTTTGATAAGCCTTGAGGCGCCAAATTGCTTGCTTTCAGAACTAAGAGAGAGCAAGCATTTTCTTCATTTGCATCTTGTTGAAATTTTTAGTTTTATGCATTTCCATGTGTAATGTGATGTGGTTAAAGTGGATTTTGCCATTTTGATGGAAACTGATATTTTCTAAAAACCAAAAAGTTTGGTAGAGCTACAACAAGCCTGTCCATATTTAATCTTTACATTGCTCGTGATAATAAACTTACAAACTTGATGATAAGTGTATCTTATTACTTTTTGTGTTGTACCTTGGAATATATGAAAATTTATTATTGTCATGCATGCCATGCTCAGTTTCGTACACATGCTAGATAATGATTGAGATAAATCTAAAATGATTTTAAATTGAATGGGTCGACATCACCCATATTTTTTGTACATGCCATGGAGACTTTTTCCACATCCAAAGTTGTCAATTCAAAAGCAACAAAAAAAAGAAGATAAACTTTGATTAATTTAAATGAATTTTCAAATTATTATCACCAATCCACAAAAGATGCACACAACTAAATCAAAAAAAAAAAAAAAAACAAATTACTCCCTCTGTCCTATTTATTTAGATGTTTTGGTTAAACACAAAAATTTAAAAGTTCTATTTTTTCATTTGTAAAAATTCAACCAATAAAAAAATACTTTACAACTAAAATAATTATAAAATATTAAATAAATATAAATTGTGCATAAAAAGTAAAGAAAATCAAATAAAAATGAACAAAAGAAAAGGATCTTATATAGGACAGAGGGAGTACACTTTTATCATAAAATTATCCTAACAACCATGAATAGAGTTGAGAAGTCAGTGTCATAAGTATGTATTGGTGTAATTTATTTTTAACAACAGTAGATGATGTCATATCATTTATTTAAAACGCATACGAAAACACCATATATATTTACAATTTCATTAGTTAGATGTTAAACAAAAAAAATTATAAAACAACAAATAAATAATTTGTTTATCATTATACCTAACGTTGTAGATCTCATACATAATATTTTAACATGAATCTAACAAACACATGTTTTTCTCTATTAAGTCATTGATCCTAAATTAACTAGAAGACTTTGTCCCGTATATAAAGTGGTCAAATCCATCATTTATGGATTCCATTTTTTATATGTACTTCTAACTGGGTTTAATAGTATTTAACAGAAAAAGGTGGTCAAATAGCCACGTATTAATAGGTTAACATTTGAATATGTTTAAATGTATTTACACATTATTACAAACTAAAAAAAAACACACACATAACAAAAACAAACCATTGAAGAAAAAACAAAAACAAAAAATCTTTTATCCCAAACAAAAAACCATTGAAAAGAAAAACGTGAATCTCCATGTGGCATTGAGTTTTGGCCAGAACGAAAGGAAGAAGAATCCCATTAGCCCACAAAAGATCCAGATGTAAAAAACTCAGTCAAAACTCAAAAACCACGTCAAATCAAACTCCGATCCAGCGGAAAACATTTTTTTGCTAATCTGTCAGCTGTCTTGTTGTTGTGCCGTCGTGTCCAATGGAATTCAACACTTAAGAACTTAGCCTTTCAATAGTTGATTTCTCTGGCCCAATTGTGAACTTTGAAATTCTGCACTTCTCCATTGATTAGCTTTGTAACTTGCCAGTTGTCACCCTCAAAGATGACATTCTTATACCCTTTTATCCAAACTTGTTGCAATAAGCAATGCTTGTAGTTCACCTTTACAGCGACCTGCGCTCACAAAAAAACCTTTAAAACAAAACTATGAATATAAATTATGCATGGAAACAAAAAAAAATCTAATAAAATCAAACAAAATAAAAAGCCTAAAAATATCTTATATATTGGATAGAGTGAGTACACTTTTATCAAACAAAAAAAAACTATTCTAACAATCATCAAGAGAGTTTGAGAAGTGATTAGTGTCATAACTATGTATTAGTGTAATTTATTTTCAAAAACAGTAGATGATATCATATCATTTATTTAAAACACATACAAAAAAACATCACATATTTTTAAAATTCCATTAGTTAGATGTTAAACAAAACAAAAAAAATTATAAAACTACAAAAAAAAACAATTTAATCATTATAACTCACGTTGTAGATCCCTAATATTTTAACATGAATTTAACAAACATTTTTTTTTTATATAAGTCGTCAAATAGTAACGAAGAAATAGGTTAACATTTGAATAGGTTAAAAATGAATTTTCACATTATTACAAAAAAAAAAAAAAAAACACACATACACATATAACAAAAACAAAACAAAGAAATAGAAGAACTGAATCTCCACGTGGCATTGGCATATTGGCCAGTACAAGAAAAGCGCATTGGCCCACAAAAAAATCCACATATAAAAAACTCAGTCAATCGTTTATTATGATTATTATTATTTTTTATTTTTTTAAGGCACGTCAAATCGAACTCCGATCCGTAAGGACCGGTAGGTTAGCGAATGTATAAATATCAACTCTCATTCCTTCACACCCTTTCGAGTCTCTCTACTCCTCTTCTTATTCACCGGAGTAACCCAAAAAAGGAAAAAAATAAAATAAATATTCTCTCCCCTTAAAATTTTGGAAAACCACAAACAGATTCTCTCTGTCCCAAAAAAAACCTAGGAAATCAGCGCTATGGCTGCGGCGGTTGCATCTGGAATTGCCCCGACGACGGCCATGGTTGATCAAGTTCCCAATCAACCGACGGTTGCTGCTGCTCCTCCTCCTCCTTTCCCTGCCGTGAGTCAGATTGCGGCGGTTGCGGCTGCTGCTGCTGCCGCGGAGGCTTTGCAAACGCATCCAAACTCGTCTCTCTATGTCGGAGATTTAGATCCGAGTGTCGATGAGCCACAACTGTTGGATCTCTTTAATCAAGTTGCTCCAGTTCAGACTGTTAGGGTTTGTCGTGATTTGACTCGTCGTTCTCTTGGTTACGCTTACGTCAATTTCGCTAACCCTGAAGATGGTAAATATTATTGAAAACCCTCTTTATATTGAATTTAATATTATTATTATGGATTACGACACGAAGAATATAAAATTGTTCATGTGTTTGCTTTTGTGGTTTTGTTCTTTTTGCTGTTTTGTTCCTTTTTGCTGTTTTGTAATTAATTTTTTTTTTGTGTTTTATGGGATCAGCGAGTCGTGCGATGGATAGTCTCAACTATGCTCCGATCAGGGACAGGCCTATAAGGATCATGCTCTCGAATCGTGATCCGAGCACTCGATTGAGTGGAAAAGGCAATGTTTTCATCAAAAACCTCGATCCATCGATCGATAACAAAGCTTTGTATGAAACATTCTCGGCTTTCGGGACTATCCTCTCTTGCAAGGTTGCAATGGATGCGGTGGGACGTTCGAAAGGATATGGCTTTGTCCAGTTTGAGAAAGAGGAAACCGCTCAGGCTGCTATTGACAAGCTTAATGGCATGTTGCTTAATGATAAGCAAGTCTTTGTTGGCCATTTTGTTCGACGTCAGGACAGGTCTCGTAGTGAGAGTGGTGCGGTGCCGCGTTTCACTAATGTTTATGTTAAGAATCTTCCTAAGGAGATTACTGATGATGAGCTTAAGAAGACTTTTGGGAAATATGGAGATATCTCTAGTGCGGTTGTGATGAAAGATCAGAGTGGGAACTCGAGGTCTTTCGGGTTTGTGAACTTTGAGAGCCCTGAAGCTGCTGCCGTTGCGGTTGAAAAGATGAACGGTATCAGCCTTGGGGAGGATGTGTTGTATGTTGGGAGGGCACAGAAGAAGTCTGAGAGGGAAGAGGAATTGAGGAGAAAGTTTGAGCAAGAGAGGATAAGCAGGTTTGAGAAATTACAAGGATCAAATCTGTATTTGAAGAACCTTGATGATAGCGTGAATGATGAGAAGCTCAAGGAGATGTTCTCTGAGTATGGGAACGTGACCTCCTGCAAGGTTTGTTTTTGATTCTAAAGCACATCTTTTAACCACATACATTGTACTAAATTTTTTGTTTCTGGTCATATTTAGGTTATGATGAATTCACAAGGTTTGAGCAGAGGCTTTGGTTTTGTTGCTTACTCCAGTCCTGAAGAAGCTTCGAGAGCTGTAAGTTTCAACTTAATTCACAATCTTTTTACATATACATAGATGCTTTATAAATTGGTATTAAAATGTTGTTTATGGGGAATGATGAATATATGTAGTTGAGTGAAATGAATGGGAAGATGATAGGAAGGAAACCTCTTTACGTTGCTTTTGCTCAACGCAAAGAAGAAAGACGGGCTCACCTTCAGGTTCGTTAGCCCTCTCGCTTTTTGAACTTCAAATTGTGTTGTTTTGTGACACTGACTTCTAAAACTCTCTTGATGTTTTCACGTGTTTCAGACTCTATTTACTCATATCAGATCACCTGGGACAATGTCGCCAATTCCATCACCAATGCCTGGGTTCCATCATCACCCACCAGGAGGGCCAATGTCAGGACCACACCACCCAACAATGTACATAGGTCAGAATGGTCAAGGTCTGGTACCCCCACAACCTATGGGGTATGGGTACCAAGTTCAGTTCATGCCCGGGGTGCGTCCAGGTGCAGGCCCGGCTAACTACATGATGCCTTTCCCTCTTCAAAGGCAAACTCAGCCTGGTCCTCGTGTTGGGTTCAGGCGTGGTGCTAATAACATGCAGCAGCACTTCCAACAACAACAAGTAAAATTCTTATCATGAGTTCTTATATGTCTTGAGCAAGTTTTTTTTATCTTTAACATAATCATACGAATTTGAATTTGTTGGGGTTTGTTATTATCTTGGAACTGTCAGATTCTGCAGCAAAATGCAAGCCCGGGAATGCGATACATGGGAGGCGCAGGCAACAGGAGGAATGGAATGGAAGCATCTGCTCCACAAGGCATCATCCCTTTGCCATTGAATGCATCTGCAATCTCTCACAATGCTCCTCAACACCCGCATAAGCCACCTCTCCTCACCATTTCCAAGCTTGCATCTGATTTGGCTTTGGCTCCCCCGGAGAAACACCCACAGGTTTGTGAACTCCAATGTTTCTTCTCTTGTCTCATCTAGGACTTGCATTGTATCAAGATTTGTTAACGATATCATTGCATTGTGAATTGATGACAGATGCTTGGGGAGAACCTTTACCCACTTGTGGCGCAGCAGGAGCCAGAATATGCGGCCAAAGTTACTGGGATGTTGCTGGAGATGGATCAAGCTGAGATTTTGCACCTTCTTGAGTCACCTGAAGCTCTTAAGGCTAAAGTTTCCGAGGCTCTGGATGTTCTCAGACTCTCTGCTAATGCACCAGCTGTGTCATCTGTTGATGACCAGTTTGCTCTATCCTCAACCGAGTGAACATACTGTTTACTCAAGACAATGTTTATCTGGCTTTCTTTAGACTGCAGTTGTTTTCAAACTTTTAGGAACTTTTAACTAGTTTTTTCTGTTGTGAGTTTTTTTCTCTTAGCATTGAGACTTTTATTCTTAGCACTTTCTCTAGTTTTATTTGGAGTCTAGTTACTGAGTCAACTCTTTTGCATCTCAAAATTTGTTTCAGAAACTTTACATTTAGCATTTCATAATAATCTGCATCCTGTTAAAACATAAATCTATCTCTGATCACATGAAATCTGGATGTACCTCGTCGTCTACTATCTGGTATTCCGTATTTATCTCCATTATTGCTCTGTCCCATTCTCCTACATTAGCGTCATCCTTCAAGGTTTTATTTCCACCAATTTGTGGTGGTGCCTGATGTTCTCCTTCCTCATCAATCAAGTAGGCGTCCCATTTCGAAGCTGGCTTAATAATTCTCTCTGACTCTAGATTTCTCTCTTCTATATCCTTCTTCCTTGTCATTACTCCATCTGCAACAAATTCTACGGAAAGTATAATTACAACACTAAAGAAAACATCATCTTAGTAAAAAAAATCATTCAGGCCTTTAACGAGAGCATTGTCTGTGAATGTCAATAAACAACAGAATTCTTCTTACCGGAACAGAAATTTGGCATTTTGATGCTGCGCGTGGAGAAGGAAGGCTTGAAGAGTGCATTACCGTCTTTCTTCCCACCTCCTGTAATTGATGATGATCCACCAGCATTAGAATCTTTGTTCAGCTTTGGCCTCTTGAACATATCTTTCGGCATTTCAGTCACAATCTTGACATCTGCAAATGCGTATATCTCTCAAGATGCATAACATACCAATCCAAATCAAAGAAATTTCAACGAACACTCTTAATTCTCTTGAAGTAGACTCACTCACCGTCTTCTTCTCCAACTAATCTCCGGCGATCATTTGGCGAATCGAAATCAAGATACTCACTCCAATCAGATCGCTTCTTCATTCCAATAACATCTAAAACCTCCTCTCCTTCAACATCAACCTCCGAAAACGAATCTGCAACCTCATCGGCAACTTTGCGAGACATATTAAAGGACTGTACAAAGAAACGAAGCTCCTTAGCCTTATAACCTTGAGCAAACACCTTTTTCACCGATTGCTTCTGATTACAAATCACACAAACCCATTTGTTACTGCTTTTCTTCTTCTGCTTCACCTGCGAATTCGGACCCCAAAAAAAATCCGTAAAAAACTAACCAATACACAAATTGACAGAGAAAGAAGAAGAAAGAGCGAGAGAGTTTAAACCTGCATAGTCGAACATTCGTAACATTGGAGAGCGATAAAGAGAGTACTCGCCATTTTTCTCCTCCTCCTTCGTCTTCGTCTGTTCTCTAGGGATTTAGATTTTGTGTTTCCAGATTATTTTGTACCGGGTTTGGTTTATAAAGTCGGTTTAATATATCACAATTTTTGTTGGCAATCTCCAGATTAGTTTGTACCGGGTGTGGTTAACAGAAGACAGTGAATAGTTTCGGTTAAGATCCCGCGTTTTTTTTACAGTAGCGAGTAGAATCAAACCCTAAAAACCCAGATCTTAAAGCTTCGTGGTAGAGGTAGGAGGAAGATGATGGCGCAAGAGAAGCACATAGAGAAGGTGCTTTTCAGCGATGAAGTAATCGCTGAGCGTGTTGGTCAACTTGGATCTGAGATTACTTCTGATTTCTCCGGTGACTCGGAATCGCCTGTTTTCGTCGGCGTAGCCACCGGTGCTTGCCTCTTCTTGGCCGATCTCGTTAGGCGAATTGACTTACCCATGGCTATTGATTACATCAGAGCTGAGTCTTACGGCTCTGGTACTGTATCCAATGGACTTCCCAGAATATCATTTGACTTAAAGCTTGACATCACGAACAAGCACGTTGTCTTGGTAATCTCCATCTCTTTATGCGTGATGGATTTGTCTTCGGCTAATATTTGTGAATTTTAGCAATTGAGTTTCAGATATATGTGAATTTCATGAAAAGTTTCAGTCTTTACAGCTTAAAAATTGTTGTGTGTTGGATACTGAAAATTGTGTCTTTTTCTATTGAGTTTTAACGTATGAAGAACACAGTGATATGCTTCACAATCTCATTTGATGATGTCTTGCTAATTATTTTACACTACGCATTCGGAAACTTCACTACCTTTTAAGTTCACCAGCTATGTGTTTTCTTAAAGGTCGAGGACATTGTGGATACTGGCAATACACTTAGCTGCCTGATTGAGCACCTAAAATTGAAAAAGGCATCATCTGTTTCTGTTTGTACTCTCCTTGACAAGCCATCGAGAAGAAAGGTTCATTTTAAGCTGTTTGGGAATGGGAAATTCTACAGTGGTTTTGAAGTAAGCTGCTTTTTGTCTCTCTCTATTCAAATTTGTTTAGCATTATATCTCTGTCTAAGGGCTTTGGAATTTCAGTATATTGCTTTCAGAAAATTTTGATATAGTTGAGACTTGCTAACCATCAATGATCTCCGTAAGCCACCTTGACCCTAGTATCCAGTTACTTATAAAATCAATGAGATTGTTGCATGATATTTTCCGATTTCTTTTTGTTCAGTCGTCGCAATGTTATGCCTATGCTTGTCTAGACCATGGTAAACAAACGTATTTTTTAGTGTTAGGAACTAGCCTGACTTAAGAATGTATATTTCATGGCATTGTGTTGAATATGTGTTGTACCCTCTGAATATCCGCAGTGTTCAGATGAATTTGTTGTGGGCTATGGCATGGACTTTGCAGAGCAATACCGCAACCTATCTTACATTGGCGTATTGAAGCCTGAATATTACATGTAACAATATTACATGAACTCAAAGTCAGTTCATCTGAAAAGAAACCCAGACTTCAAAAAATTACTGGGCATCATGAGTTCTTTTATGACTTGCCCCTGTTTTATTGGTCAAAGCAGTAAAACCAAAGTTCTACTATAATTTGACATTAATTATGATGGAAAGCTAATGCAAGCGCACCATGCAATTCATATTTTCCACAAAGCTTTTTGTTATAGAGAATCATTGAACAAAACCATGCATTATATTACAAGAAATAGATCAATCAAACAAATGGTAATCCGAATTATATTAAGGAGTTTCAGCCTTCCTTAGGGATATATCTTTCTTTTGTTACTTCCAGGTGAGCAAAGGAAGAGAGTTCTTGGCCGGAGGAACAACTTTTCCATCAGCATCATACAATATAACACCTGAGAAGTCTGGAAGCTGGCATTTTCCTCCCATGAGAATGTTCTTCTGCCACAGCGGACCTCGTCTCTGATCCCCACTAAGCAACATGCTCGGGTCCCCGTTGTATGGATCATAAACATCACCATTGTTCATCATCGTCGTGTCATTTTGGAGATGTATAACAGGTTCATAATCTCTAGAGCCATAACAGGTAACCCAACGACAAAGCTTCCTCTTCGAATGAGAAGCGAGGCTAACCAAACGGACGCTTGCAGAGGCTAAACCCATCTTGAAAACTGTAAGCCGCTTCGTTCGAGATGATGGAGCGGACTGAGCCATTGGATATGAGCAAGATTGTTGGTTTTGCGGCTTGAGAGTTTGTGGGTCGATACTGTCTTTGGACTTTGAGCTCAGGAGTTTTAAGTAGCAGTTTGGGTCAGCATAAATATCAATGGAAAAATGGAGTGGTTCGCCATTGGAGTGGTCAGTGAGAAGCTCTTAGTTTATGGTTCTGGTGCTTCTGTGGTTTAGTTAATGGTTTGACCTTGACTTGTCTTCTTTTGACTTTTTATGTAACCGTTGCGTGATATTTCGTGGCCCTCATCGTGGCCCTAATTATAAGGCCCATTAAGCCCACAAGATATCTTCGTCTTCCTCATATATGCAATCTGAAGTTTTGAACAATTTCAATTTCTCATTTACCCATTTATCTGCGCCGCCGACCGACAAAAAAAATCTCGGAGAAACCTAACCGGCGGGAGCCATGCGTCTTCACTCAGCAATTACTCTCCGAAATTTGTTCACCAGAAAGTCTCTCCGAATCCCACAGATTCCAAGCATTACATCTTCTACGATTCTCATAAACTCGCTTAGCAATGTCTCTGGTAATCTCGGATCTCCATATTCGAAATCCAGTCTCTCCGAAACATCATCAGCTAGCTCTCTAATGTCCCGGATCCCAAACGCCTTCCAGGAGAATCAGAGAAGATACGGCACCGACACTAGCGGTGGCTCACCTGTAGATGTAAACAAAGTAGTGGACGAGATTAATCTCAAGTTCGCTGAAGCTCGTGAAGAGATCGAAATGGCTATGGATGCGAAGGAGACGGTTTACTTCAACGAAGAAGCAGAGTGCGCTAGAGCCGCCGTGGCAGAGGTTTTGGAGATGTTCGAAGGTTTGCTCGGGAAAGTAACAGAGAAAGAGAAAGCGTCTCTGCAGCGATCCATGGGACTCAAGATTGAACAGCTAAAAGCTGAGCTTCAACAACTGAACGAATGATCGATCAATTGATCATTTTTGATTCTGTGGAGAAACGAAGAGGTTAGCAGAAATTTTCCTCTTCTTCACTGAGCCATTGTTCTTAGCTGATTATCATCTCTGTGTGCTTCAATAAATTTTAGGTCAAATTCAAAACATTGAGTGAAGATTGCAATGCTTAAGCCTCTATTGTTGCTTGCTTCTGTGACTACACACTCTTTTCATTAGAGGAAAAAAACTTGAAACAATTTATTATGTTACTATTTCAGTGAGCTTCGTTGTGTGTTTTGATCTTTACATAGATACATTTGTTTCTGTAAAAGAACAAGAATTATCAGGAGGAAGAAAGAACTTAAACATTTACTCATAATAATACATAGTATCAAAATTTCAAATACAGAAAATCATTGTACAACATGTTGTTAACAGGATTTGTGAATTTGTCACTGACTCTCGAACTTGAACCAGTCCCAGTTAGCATAGATTTCTTCATCCTTGCCTTGAGGGAAACTGCTTGTGATTGGAGGATGATCAGAAATCGCGCTTGTAGCCACTGAAGGCATCTTTTCTCTATACTTTTTTGCCATCTCTTCAGCTTCCGTGAACACTTTCTGCATCGACAAAATCACAGTATTAAGGGACATGAATGGCAATTTTGTACCGGGTTAAAAGAGAACAAGTTAGGTCCATAGATCAAGTGGTACCTCTCTGTCTGAGATGAACAAGCCCGGTTCGCTTTCAAGATCAGCAATGCTGTAGAAAAGAAAATAGTTGTTACTGATACTGAGGTGGTAGTGAATTTTGGAATTTGAGTTGTTTTTACCTAAGAGAGATCTTGTCTGGAAATAGAGATTTCACAACCAGAACCTTTACACTTTCGTCCACCTGAAGCACATCGCTCACCGATCCAATTCTTCTTCGAGTTATGTTTGAAATGTGTAGCAGTCCACTGTATAACATTTATCGGCAAACGAAATGAATTCAAAACTACTAGTTAGTAGTCACTAAGAAGAACAACGAATTTATGGAAGCAATAGATAATGAACTACCTTCTGCTACTATCCCCGAGTTTGACTTGAGCTCCATATGGTAAGATTTTGGCAACTGTTCCTTCTAATAGTGTTCCTTCTCGAAGGTACAGCTTCTCCTGAGACATCATTCGATAGATTATTAATCTCATTGTTGGCTTTTCTTATAAAAGACAAGACAGAAGGGAAGAAACTAACCCAGGCTACTTTTTCACTCAGTATCAAGTCGTTTTTGTCTTCGTTCAATCGTGTTATCTGCACAAGGAGTCTACGACCCACCTGCAACACGAAAAAGGCCTGAGAAAACGCAGAATGGTAATGCCAAAAGCCTACTGAGATTCAGCAGAACAAACAAAATTGTTACAGTGGAAGAAGAAACTCTTGCTTTACGTTTTCCTTCAACTCGGTGAAATTGTTCACTTTCTTCACCAATTCCTGCTTCGGAATAAAAGCTCTTAAACCCTGAAAATTAAGCCAACAAAGAGCTATGCATTATCCACTTGTGACTTGTGAGCAAACATGTGAACAAGACGAAAAATTCGGCTACCTCAATTCTGGTGAGAAGTCCTCCTGTATTCCACTCTGTTATCTTAACTTCAATAGGCTCATTAACTTGCTTAATCTGCCACATAACCATTCACTCTTCATTAGATGCATCTGAATGATACAAATACTTCAAACCAAGACCAGTTTTTGAATCCAGATAATGAATAAATCAAGGCACAAGAAAAAAACCTGCCTCACTCGGTGCCAAGAGATTCTCCGAAAGTACCGTCTAGAAGAAAGCAAAGGTCTTCCACTCAACGTCCTTCCTAAAACCTCCGCGAAAACCACCGTCCCAATCTCCACCACCGGTCTACCTTGCCGTGCAAATTCCGCAATTTCAACACCTTCATCATCATCATCCTTAAAAATCCCCATTTTCCCATTAACCAAAAACTCTTCAGCATCATACTTCAAATCACACAACAAATAATCCAACTCTTTATCATACAAAGGAAGAATCTCTTTCGTCAGCATAGTTCCCAACATATCCGCACCAATACTCACATCAAGCTTATTCTCATTACCCGAAACCACAACACCAACCACAAAATCACCTGGTTTAGGATCGTAATACTCTACACTGACTCTATCCGTCTCCTCTTCCGCTTCAATTCCCTCCCCTTCTCCTTCTGGTTTGAAGAATTTCAAAAACGGCTCCAGTATCTCGTCATCGTCTGCTTTACCATTCTCCTTCTCATTTTCTGATTTCGGTACAGGACTCGGCTTGTTCAATAGCTCAAGCTCCTCCTCCGCCACGATTCCTCCATTTTCAACACCGGAAACATCCTCTCGTGAGCAAAATCTAATCCCATAAGCTCCACGAGTAGCAAAATCGCGACAAATAGCGAAACTACGAAACCGAAAAGGGCTTAGGGTTTCACAAAATTGAAACTGCGATACTTTCTCCGATGCTTTAAAGTAGATACAGTCTCTCGCATCACCGGAGCTACGAATCGACGACGACGGAGAAGAAGAAGAAGTGAATATAGGAAGAGACTTACATGGCTGATAGAGAAGCGTTTGCATCTTTTTTCCTCTTATCCGCCGCGTAAGATAATTTCTTCAAACGGTTCTTTTTATCCTTTTCTTTTCGCTAGTTTTATCAAAATTGCCCTCTTATTTACGAAATTTACCAATTTGGGCATGAAGTTTTAAATATGACAATGAAACACAAACTTCTCAATTTAAGAACCAGCTATTGACGACAGCTAACGATAGGCCCAACATTGATAATGGACCTAATAAATTTTGTGGTTATGTGTCAAATATTAATGGACCCGTTATTTTAAATGGACCGTCGCATTTATTAAACTGATGATATTAAATTAATAACGTTTAAATAATGTGGTCGGCGATTCGATTTAATGCATAAAACGTTTATAGACTTTAATAAATATTCTTGGTTATTAAAAATATGGTTTATATACTAGGGGAGCTTAATAGGGATGAACCGATTGGATTAATTGAACCAAAAAAATCATCTAAAAGCCTAACCATATTTTACTACTGTAGTTTTAAACGTTTTTTTTTTAACCACAACCGAAATTTCATTGATAATTTAAAATATATTTGACTAAAACTTGAAAATGAAACTTAAATACGATCTAAAACCAAATTTGATCTAAAACCAAATTTGTACTAAACTATCACCAAATCGAAATCCAAATGAACACCTCTTTTTTATATTCACAATTTAAAAACACCTAACGCTAATGGTAAATAGTATAAAATAAATAAACTTACACTGAACGAGAAATTTACTCTACACATTGTTTGCGTCGGCCAATGAAAAACAATATATTTGCATTCAGATTCAATAAAAGAAATTTCTGAAAGATTTTTTCTAAAATAAAAGAAAAAGAAGTTTTGTTCATATATAAATTTGGATTTGGAATATAGTGAAAGTAATAGACACTAGACATCGATTAGACAAACTGCATAATTTCAAATCGTAAATTATTTAAAAAAGATGGAGATCAGAATGATGATGCTTCATACTTGTTTATGATGATCAAGTTCTAACCTGACGACAACCCATCAGTACGCAAACTAATATCTCAATTTAATTTACATAATTGTGAGTCTATCATGACAACTATAAAAATATAAACTCACCGATTGATTATTATGATTAATCGTCGTTTCGCCACCTATTCAAAATGAAACAACTAATTATACGCTGAATGTTTAATTAATCAGTGAGTCATTGTCAATCGTATAAAAAATCACCTTTAAAAAATGCTGGTAATTCGTCGAAGACCACTTATATCCAATAATTTAGTGCATGCTGATTAGCATCAGAATTTAATATTGTTCCCTCATAGTACAATAGTTTAATAGTTTCCTAGATTGAAATTAGTGTGGTTTTAAAACCTAGACTGTATTTAGACTGTATTCGGCGACCAAACTTTCATAAGGTTGTGGTATAGTTATAGAAGATGCAAATTTTATTTGGGCGATCGAGAAGTTGGTAAACATTATAATCGATGTAAACAAAAAATATTTACACTTGTCTAATTGTTTTCCAAAATGTTACCACTATCTTAGTCTCTTACTAAGAAAAATACCAACATAAGTGCAATTATATGTTTTCTTGTGATAAAGTAGTGCTTATGTTAGCATTAAACTTTGATACTATTAATTTCATCATTCGGTCATAGGTATGTGCAATAATGAAATGAGATCGTAATCATCGCTGTGCAGATAACTTAGAAAATGAAGTCTGATGAGGTAAGACAAGTCTCATCATTTTATTAATCCTGATCTCTCTCTTCATCCGGTAACATAAATAAGTAAATTATACAAACAGCGTACGTCAATTAAGGTTTTCAGTTTATATTAATCACAGATCAGTATAAAAATACGACACGACAAAGTTTAACAACGAATCAATATATGGTTCTACGTCAAAACGACATGTGGTAAGGATATGTAGTACCTTAAAGCTGTGGTTACAAAAACCGGAGATCTAAACGTAAAAGTTGTTCCATTGCCACCGGTTTACGTTGGTTTTTTGGTTTACTCGCCGGTTAAACTAGAGGTGTGAATGGTGTGATATTTTATAGAGATAAGAACACTATTTACCTATGAAAAAAAAAAACACTATTTACCTTTAGATTTTCTGTTTTACCAGTTGTCACTCACTGAGGAATGTTCCAGCTTTTTGAGGCTAGAAACAAATTAGTCACAACTGTAGTTGGTCATTTTTTTACCATCATGGTGTGGTAAGTCATAAGTGTAGACTGTTCTATTAAAATAAAAGAAACTACTTTTTAGCTTTTTATATATTAATTCAATTTATTCCTCTCATTATTTTTTTTTACAATTAATTGGTTTCATTCCTCATAATTTCTTAAAAGTTCCCCCAAAACGTAATAGTAGTTGAACCCTAATTTTCTTGTTCGTTGGTTCTAGATTAAATGGGATATCAACTTTTGACTTCATGTCCAAATTATACCAAGATTCACCTAAACTAGAAAAAGAGAAAATATTTTTCTGTAATGTTCTAATAATACAAATATAGAAGATGATATTCCTAACTATTTCCTTCATATATCGTTTTCAATAATTTAAATTTTGTCTTCTGCTCCAACAATAAAAAAGTTTCATGTCCCCCTCCGGAAATAATTAGAGCCAAATAGTTAGGCCATAACATTAAATTATTATATTGTATGAAACGGTAGGACTACATGCATGAGAGACTAGGAATCGCTTAAATCTAGTAAACTTCGATGTCGAGAAAAACTTTATATTTGCGAATATATTAAAAACATAAGAAAAAACTT